ATCCAAGCATAATGAGAATCTCAACCTTGATTCCTGTACCTGAAAAATGTCCTTACTACGTGGGTGAGTAACATAAAGCTACTCGTAGGAAATGAGCATGCATAGACTTAGCATTTTACTGTTCATTAAATTGATATAAATCGATACATATGGTCCATGCCACCTAACGTTTATGTCAAAGTGAGACTCAGGAAGCATCCTAAGCTACCTTAGATCATTTCTAGCATCAATCACATCATTTATGCAATTCAAATAACATAGAAGCATGTTATACAAAGCAAGAAGATATAGATTTTCAAAGCCAACAACTTGAAATCTAAAATACGAAAACAACTAAAGTGGGTCATGCCATCTAACGTCTATACTCCAAATGAATCTATAGGATCATTCCTAAGCTACATTTGAACATTTTTACACAAATGTACTTAACAACATCAATATTGCAATGATTCATTAAAAATCACAATGCCTAAATGTACTTAACAACATCAATATTGCAATGATTCATTAAAAATCATAATGCATAAATGTACTTAACAACATTAAATTGCTAATAACCAAAATCACAAGTCACAATTAAACATTGGTTGTCAACTTGAAATTGAATGCGAAATCAAATAGTAGAAGACTTGGACATTAAATCCCGGAGTAAAACCAAGACCTAAACAGTTATTCCGGGCACTAACCAGCTGGGAATACCACCCTAGTGCGTACTATAAAATAAAAAGACCTCATACTTCCCGCACTAGAGCCAAACTCTAGCCATGTCAAAGTAACAATGTCCCAAGTGACTCTAAAATCAATAAATAAGTTCAAAACTTATACATAATTAAATAATGCATGAAACCACATTCCATGCACAAGTAGGTTGAAACCACACAATCCATGTCTTAGGATTTCAATTCTAAAATGGTATATATAATGGCAAATACGAAGTGCGCGATTCATTACACAAGACAATAATATATTCAACATTGGAAACATGTTCTCATGAATATAGTTTTAACAACAATGTAATTCAATGCTTAAAGCACCACCAAGTGAATACATAACAAGTTTAAATCCATGATCTAAACATATAAACATTTCTAAAACATAATTAAATCCATGGAACAATGAGATAAAATTTAATTAAATAAAAATAATTAAATTCTCTAGATTTTAAATCAATTCCAAATGTCCTCAATTTAATATATGTTAATAAACATAACATGGCCATCAACAATATCAAGTCACAAGTCCGATTAAGTGACTAAAACACTTAAAATAAAATTAATTTAGCTAATTAATTAATTTTTCTCTAGATTTCAAAATAATTCAAAATGTCCTCAAATTAATATATGTTAAACAATATATTAAGGCCTAATTTAATAGCATGCTACAATTTGATTCCATCACATATATAACCATGTGAATTAAATTTTCATAAAAGAAAATAATTAAATTAAATTATAGATTATGAACAAAAACATGCATACAAGTTGTATAAGCATCAATAGCATGTAAGACAACAAAAATATAAACCTATAGCATCCCCTACCTCCATTTGAGATGAAATCTCAAATCCCACCGAAAGAAAACCGCTCCGAATCCGACGAAACTCCTAGGCTATGTCGGGGACAACAAGGTGAACGTTAAACACCAAAAAGGTACCACCAAAATCCAAACGCGAACTCAAAAATGGTCGAAAATGGATTCTAATAAGGGGAAAATGAAGATCTCACCAAGGCCTACAATAAATGCTAAGGTACTACGCCATTTACCATGAGGGAAGAGGCCAGAAAAAGAAGAAGGGTGGTAGCCCAAGGCTGCCATGGATGGCTGGCCAATGAGGGAGGAAGAAGATGAAAAAGTTAACTTTTCATTTCATAACTCCTTATTTATAGAAAAACCCTAAAAGTGTCCCGAACGGGTCCCACAGGGTCCAAAAAAGTGGAATTTGCGCAGGCGCGCTCAAACGGAAAAAATCCGTAAATAAAAAAGAACCAAAATGAGAAAAAATGAATAACGGAAGAAATGGCGTCGAAAACCAAGTCCCGAGCAGAAAGATATGTCCCGAACAAGTTCGGCGGCAACTAGGATTAGAAACTCTAAAACTGGGAAAAAATGACCAGAAGACAATTCTAAGAGTACACGACTCAATGAAAAGTGAAAATGAATCCCGTACGAGGATCCAGGCTCAAAATGAGATATTTTGCAAAAACTTTCATTAATTACACAACGGCCCCTCCAAAAAGGGTTAACTACATTAATGACCTAGAATGAAAATATCTTTCAAAAATATTTTCTTGAAAACCCCTGAAATAAAATATCTCCAAAAGATATTTATTAAAAATACCCCAAGAAAAGAAAATGTTTCTGAAGAACTATGCATCCATGCCCCTATGGACACCAGGAGCAACCAGAGTACTTTTCTACAAAAGTAAAGATACGTGTTTTGGGGAAACCACTTAGAATGAAGATACATGAAGTCAAAAACCAACTTCGAATACGAAAAGTGAGGTTATGTCAACCAAGTGACAAACGGGGAAAAAGACGAAAAGTGAAAAGTGCCCAAAAAGTGAAAATGTGGAAATGACACGATCCTTAAAAGAAGTTGTCAATCCAAAGAAAAGAGTCTCGGAAACCATTCCCAAGCACTCAAGACAACAACAGGTGACAAGAAACTGAACTCAGAAAGGAAAAGACAATAGAAAAAAATATCCGTAAAAATCTAAGAAAATGAAAGGAAGGAAAATGACCGGGTCATTACAAGAAAAATATAGCTAAAGACTCTTTTCTACTAAAATTGCTAACCTCTACAAATATGGGTTCATTTGATTTAAATACAAGCCTCTTTTAGTAGGCAACAAGTCAGAAATAAGGCTTTTGATTGGTGAAAACTCGCAGCTACAAAATTTGGTAGAGTTCAGGCGTGCTTGGGAATTAGACAGCATACTGCGTGCAGTCACTTCGATTGATCGAACAGGGCTTTGATCGATCAGTCACATACTCCTAATGATCAAAGCTAACGTGGTAAGATATGTTGGACAGCTGGCAACCTTATCCATTGAGTTGGCACAACCTTAATCTTGATCGATTGTAGCTTCCTTCGATCGATCGGGATTTCCTTCGATCGACCGAAGCTTCACAGTGCGGTTTTTTTTTTACTTTTCTGCATTTTCTCTTTAGATCCAAAACTGAGCTAATAGGCTCTTTTTAGTCTATTTGAACCTTATTGACCTAAAATAGACAAAAACATAAATAAGTACTAAAAAATGAAAGTAAGATAATTGAATGCCCTAAAATACCCTAGCTTAGGTGCCAAAATGCATCACATTTGAGTACTTATCACACCCCCAAACTTAGATATTACTAGTCCTTAGTAATGAACTAAAAAGAAAAGAAACAAACAAACAACTAAGTAATTATGAATTAGAAAGCAATAAAAGGATAACGCCACTTTCGTAAGAAACACGATTGCATTTAGCATATGCGACAAGCCTTTTAAACCCTTAGGTTACCCCTAGTGGATGAGTGAAGTCTCGTGAAGGTTTCCATAAATGATACCCACAAACATTAAACTCTTTCTCACTAAAGAGTACTAACATACAAAACAAGCATTGGGAGAAAACTATCTCAAGTATGCAATTTTTCAACCATTTCCAAGCAACTTCCCAAAATTTTAACACCAAGCAAGCAAGTATGGTCCTCCACACATCAAGAAAATGATCATGCAAATCGAAACAACTCTAGAATCCTTTTTAAGTGAACCGACATCAAATATGTTGCTATCTTAGCCAACTAAATAAATGATCACATTCGGTTTCAAGCTAGCACACAAATCTAGTACCGATCATCAAGACAAAGAATGAACATTTTATTATAGCTTTATTCATCTAGGTGCATTTATTCTTTTCACTCGATTTTCTTCTTTCTTTTATTTTTATTTTTTATTTTTATAAGATCAAAGATGGAAGCATAGTGCAATGTGTTGATCTATTAAGCTTTCTAGCGATTCACGAGGTCGAGCGTTAGGTCAATGACTCCCAAACCGGACGGCTTTAGGCATTAGGCGTTAAAACACCCTTAAGGACTTACAAGCGTAAATCAACTAGGTTACAAATCAAAACAACCTCCATATAATCATTTCCCACTTCTCACCTTTTGGGAGAAGTCCTCACTTTTATTTGCTTTTTGCAAATTGCTTTTTTTTTTTTTATAATTATTAACCTTGAGTTTGGGCCCTCCACCTTTCGGTGCAAGAAATTCAGTACTTGATGAGGCTAGAATCCCAGCTACTTAGTGAAAAGGGTTTGTTATCCACTTTTGTTAAGAATGAAAGCTTTCAATGCACTACTAGCTCAATTGGAATATAACCAAATCAATAGTCAACAAAGCATGTACCCCATAAATGAATGCTAGTGTGCGCTTGTGCTAGTATAGAATCCTAGAGTGAATATCAAAAGAATCACAAAATCTGAATGATGTGGACCAAAAATGCAAGCAAGATATCAATCTTTTGAAAAATTTACTTTTAAATGGCATCCACAAGGCATACAAGGAGTATTGGACTCTTAAGTCAAGCAATTTTTAAATTCTAAGTATCATAGTCTTCAAAAGATCAAAATCATGGCTCAGATAGTCAAATCATACCATATGCATAGAAACTAAATGTGACATATAAAATGTGCTAACACACCCCAAACTTAATATGTGCATTGTCCTCAATGTATAAAGAAGCAACATATCATGGAAAGAGTATACCAAATGGGTGTAGCAAATAGGACCCGGCAATGGAAGCTCAGTATTAGAAGGCGCACCTCCAAACTTAAATTCCAGAAACTTGTCTGAAAATGGTCACACTAGCAACTAATTAACGCATACACATCAATGATATAAATAAGAGGTGAAATGGAGGATTGGGCAAAAATCATGGCATATAGAAATATAACTCAGAATATCCAAAACTAAATCAATCATGTCAACATCTCAAAAATTCATTTAAATGAGTCTAAAACTATCTACAATCCAAAAATCCAATAATATATCAAATAGATCCAAAAACATAATCCAAAAACCAATGTGTATCGAGTGCAGTGCAAAAGATCCAAAACTAGTTTTAAATAACAAATCATTGTAAAAATATCCCAGAGATAACAATGTATCAAAATATTAGTGTAGCAGAGCAGGTAATGAGTGATAGAGATAGACATAGAGAGGCAGAATCATAGTGCAGTATCTGGTGCCATCATGTCGGCGATGACCTGGAGCATATCGGGCATCTCTCGGCTGTGTCGAGTGAGAGTAGTCTGCAAGTCTAACCGTAGTGTAGCAATGTCTCTCCTTGACTCAATAACCTCGGTTTGCAGCTCATCGGATTGCCGAATCGTATCCTCATGCCTCCTCACCAGGTCATTGTGTCTCCACACTAGATCGTCATGACGTCGTGTGATGTCCTCATATCGGCCGGTCATGTCAACCCTGAATGAAATAAAATCTGTCTATAGCTAAACTACATCAGCTCGGTATGTGAAGTCAGAACTGGCATGATGGGACTTTGAGTCGGTTTAAGGCATCTACTCTGGAGGTGCAACATGTGAGGGGCCAGCCTGTTGAGAAGGAAGGGGTATGTCTAGCTGGGAGGTAGATGCAGATGTAGTAGTATGTCTCCGCTGTCTTGAAGGTGATCCATCAGATCCCTCAGCTGTATCCCCCACTGCTGCCTTAGCCTGACCTCTCTGCTGCTGCTCTCGCTCTCTCTTCTGATCTCTATTCTTTTTCTTCTTCACACAGGCATTGTACGTCTTCGTCCATTTTACTTGGTCATAAGCCCTCTACGCTCCACAAGCTTGGGAATCTCATCGGGGTCAAAAGAGTAACCCTGGTCAAGCAGCAACTGTGTAATGAGGTGGCTAAATAGTAGTGGCCAAGTAGCTGCTCTGCTAATGCGCCTGAAAATCGTATTCTCCCAATACTTATGAATGAGCTCCCAAATCATAGCAGCAATAGAGAACCAGCACCCCTGGCTCAAATAGTACATGGCCTTCAGAATACCCTCTCGTCGCTGTGTGCCATGTCCCGAAGGGAATGCATTAAGGTGTAAGACGGAGTCCAGAAACCAATAACGGGGATCTATGTCAACCCAATCAGCAAATATATTGGCCTCATAGGCCGCCTATGGGGATAAAGTAGCAACCATGTCCAACTCCTTAGGATAGGTTAGAGTGATAAGATATAGAGGATCCTCAGAGTCAGTGACCTGTGGGGAGAGATGGGGGCATCGGCAAGCAACAACTATGATAGGAATGGAGATATCAATATCATGACCATCAATGGTTGTATGCATCAGTTGTCCATCATCCTCATTCATCTGGAGGTGCTGGAAGAATAAAGCAACCAACCGGGGATAGACTACTGTGTCAGCCAGTGTTATAATGGCCTCGATGCCCCACCAAGTGAGCTCTTCATAAGAACATTTCGTCTAATCTAGCTCTAAAAATAGCTCCAGGTCAAATCTGAACTCTGGCTCGAGCTTCCGGCCAGAAAAATATGGGATGGGTCCTGCTCTGATTATGGAGCCTTGTGCCTCCGTGTAAGCTGACTTAGAATGAGCTGAAATAGATAGTGTAGCCTCTGAAGATGAAGAAGAAGACTTTGCCAGAGGAGATGGAAGAGGCTGTATAGCTCAAGCTACTCTTTTTAGGGCAAGAGTTTTTTGCCTACGCTGCATCTGCAAAAGCAACAGGTAAAAATTAGTACATTGATATATTATAGGGTAAGTATTTGATAAGAAAACACAAAGCATGCTTGAATCAAGTAGAAACAGAGAATAGACACATAGGATCATGCTTGTGCAAGAATTGATCAAGAAAGCTTCAAAAATATCATTCAACATGCGTCATTTAGACAACAATAGATCAGGGCTACTCAGAAGCACAATAAGCAATCTTAGATAGCAAAACAATGTAATGATGGCATAGATGGTAAAAAAGTCACTTTTAGAAACATATGAGCAAGAATGAGAACAACAGGACAAACATAGGCTGTGATGTGCATAAAGGATGCAACGTGTATTCACAAACCTAAAACTCAAGAAGATTTTGCAAATTCATGGCAAGTAGACCCTAGGATGACATCGTATCAATTCCTAAGCAAGAATGTCTACAAGTTCAGCATTTAAGATCAATGAAGCAAGTAGCATAACATGGAGTATATAAACATGGAAATTGTCAAACCTAGAACTCTAGAAACATGTGTATCATGAAATAAAGACTAAGTGAAATGAACGGTTGCAAAACACTTCAATCCAAGGCATGTTATGACACACAAGCTTAGAAATGAATCATGGACATATATGCACTAAATGGCATATAGCTGAATAATGCACAAATATCTACAAACTCTAGACAAAGAAATATCCTGTACTCCATTGGAACAAAATCAACATCCTATGATCAATCATGGCTCGTGACCCCCTCTAAGCAATTAATAACAGAAAAATGATCGCTTATGGCTCGTGACCCCTTTTAAAGCTTAAATGAAGCAAAAAAATGGTCAACAATTGAAAATAATAAGAGACTTACCATTTTTGAATCAAAATCAGGACCGGAAAGAAAATCGGTCTCCAAACTCTTACTTAGTTTTCAAAAATGGATCACAAGTGTATAGAAACTAGCAAATGGCATTTAAACAACATCTTTCCAAGACAAGATAAACATACCCCCAAACTTGGTTAAAATTGCATTTCAAAATTCCAATTAATTCAAGAAGTGATACTAAGGCAAAAGAACAACAATGACATCCCAAACATGAATTTTGAACTCAAAATATCCATTCCCACCCCCAAACTTATTTAAAGATTAATGTCCCAACAATTTATTCAAAATAAGAACATAAACTTGCAAAACCATCAATGTGACATAAGTATGGGCAAAATGGTGTATATACAAGCAACAAGTTGCAAATTATTCTAAATTGCACACAATTATTTAAAGAAGATCACATTTGATAATTTTCAAGTTCAAAAAGCAACAGTGGAATCATTTGACTTCAAAAAGTTGTGTTGGAATGGCAATTCAACTCATGTTTCAAGATAAGTTCAAAATCATGAAAGGTGAGGTCAAAAGACATCAAACTTGTGCCCTAGCATGGCAAGAATCAAGAATTTAGCACAAACAAGTTCAAAAGCACTTAGAACATGCAATTGGATGGAAATGAATCAAATGGAACAAGTCTCAACTCAATCAAGGGCATTTTGGTCAACTTTAAAAATTTTCAACACTTAATTGGGATTTTTGAAAACTTTAAAGTTCAAAACATTCAAATGCATTGTAGGTAAACATCATTACAAGAATCATGCATTGAATGAACAACAAAAGAAGGAATTAAGCAACTCGACTTCTCATTTGCAAACGAAGTTCAAATATCCCTTTTTTTTTTTTTTTTTTTTTTTTACATTTTGGTACCAATGAGTGTGATCACAAAGCATTTTAAACATTCAAGGATTATTTTACTAAAATAAAGTACCTTAACCATGAGCTATAGTCAATTGAAGGTTAAAACTTTTAAGGATGGTCCAATTGAAACACATTTATGCACTTTAAACAAGACTTTTCATTTTCATATTCAAAAGCAAAAGTTTCAAGTCAAGTCATGCTTGCATGCATTTGGAACAACTTAAGATCAAACACATCCATGCATTCCATACTCAAAACAAACAAATGAAACAAGTCGGGAATCATGTTCATAACATTTCAAATTCAATGCCATTTTAATTTCAAAATACCAAGAAAAACAAATCCTTATAGAAATTCAAGTCTCCATTTCAAGTCGTAAACAAACATATCAAGTACATGACATTTGAATCCCAAATGCAATCAAGAAATATCAAATTCCATTTACAACTTAAAGTTTCAAAACAATTTTCCAAAGACTTGAAAGTTTTTCCTTTTTCAATTCAAACCAATTCTAATATTTAACTTTAAAAATCCATTTTCAATTTCAATTTCAATTTCAATTTCAATTTCAATTTTAATTTAAGCTTTCAAAATCAAACCACATGCCATCTGGAATTTAAAACCAAAGTTCAAGCTTAATTTTACAAAAATCTGGCATGGGTTCCCCTTAAAAATGAATATTTCCAAAAATTTTCAACAAAGGCACACATGCATATATATATATATGTATCAACCAAAACAGTCAATGAAATCCAATCACAACATAAGGGACACCTCCCACAAATATAATCCATATTCATTTTTGCCCATTCTCCTTCTAAACTACAACACATACGCTCCATTACTTCAAATTTTGCCATCCTCCTCAACACAAAGGGTACACAGTTTTTTAGTCCAAATCTTCTTCTTCTTTTTTTTTTTTTTTTTAAAACAATTTTCTTTAATTTATATATATATATATATATATATATATATATATATTATGATTTTTCAATCTTTATATGAACATTTTTATTTTGAACATCAAAACTATATACAACAAAAATATATAAAAAGTAAGAATAATCAAACTAATAATGAAGAATGCAAAAATAAAATAGATAAATAAATAAATACAAAGAGACGAACAAACACATACCTGATCCAAAAGATGGAAGGGAGGATGGAAACGGAGGGATTCAGGACGAAATGAAGAATTCTGGCCTAACCTTGGTCGGAAGTGGTGATCGGAGGCTCGCTGGAGTCTCGCCTGAAGTTGCAGACGATACCGGAGTGATGAAACGAGGTCTCTTTGGCCTAGATCGGCTGAGATGATGAGAATAAGAGATTCAGAAAGAGATTCAAGCAAGGAGGGACGAAAGAGCTTGGCCCTTTTGGCCAAAAGCTTTGCATCGGCAAAAATGGAGCTCGGTGTCACTTGGGTTCCTTCGTCGGCGACGAGAGAGATGGTGAGGTGGGTTGAGTTCGTCTTGGTTCGCCGGAGTGAGGAGGTTGGGAGATTGAGAGATTGAGGGAGTGTTAGAGATTACGAGAGGGAAAGTTACACGGAAAGAGAGAGACGAGAGTTGAGGGAGCAGAAGAGGTAGAAAGAGAAAAAAAAAAAACAAAGGTTTAGGGTTGAAGGCCAACGGCCAAAGCAAGTCTCAAAAGTTCAAAAGACGTATTTTTAATCGATTGAAGGGGTCTTCGATCGATCCAGATGAACTTCAATCGATCCAGGATTCCTTCGATCAATCGAAGTGGAAGATGAAAAGTCATGATTTCAAAGGGTTCGATCGATCAAAGTGGAACTTCGATCAATCGAAATGGACTTCGATCGATCGATCGAAAGTACATTAGAAGTGTAGGAAATTCAAGAAACTGCCCGAAAACTAGAATGATCTACTTGAAACATATCTAGATGACGCAAGAAAGAACAAAACAAGAAATGAGGGAAGAATAGGGTTAGAAAATCGTACGAAGCACTAGTCTTTAACGTCTTTAGCAAGACGTTGGGCTCTTTTAGCCTGGATTAAAGATCTTGTTAGACAACCCCTTCTCAATGGGGTGAATAGAACTTCAAACCTCACCTAACAAACCATTCCCTAAGGAAATTGTTGGATTTAGTTCAAGTGAAATTGATGGCTTCTTATCAAAAATATTTTTAGGCTTTCATACCATTTCAACACTACAATTCAAGACTACATCTTTTGAAAAATCTTTCAAAGGCAAACCATTTGAATTTTCAACACAAAATAAGGATTCATTTTTTTATTTATTTCATTTTCAAAACATTTTTCAACAACACAAATGTCTTCATGTTCGTCCGTTGAATTGGGGGTTGGGTTTAAAATGTTCAACTTCACCTTCATGTGGCCAAAAGAGATCTTCATTATCCCCGTCCTACAATTGATGTTGGCATTAGCGGTAGCCAAGAAGGGACGGCCAATGATAACGGGTATTTGGCTCTTAGGATTGTGAACCGGTTCCGTGTCAATGACAATGAAATCAACCGGGAAGAAGAACTTGTCAATTTTAATCAAAACATCCTCTATGATACCCCGAGGCTTCTTAATGGATCGGTTGGCTAGTTGCAAAACTACCTACGTCGGTTTCAAATCACCTAAGCCCAATTGAACATACATCGAATAAGGAAGAAGATTCACACTCGCCCCTAAATCTAAAAGAGCCCGATTGATAAGATGGTCACCTATAGTGGCATGAAGTAGTGGATGAATCAGGGGCTTTGAATTTTGGAAGAGTGTTATGTTACAAAATCGAGCTCACTTACTCGGTAAAAACAACTTTTCTAGGTGGTTGGCTTTCATTCTTCCTCTTAAGGGTGCAAAGGTCTTTTAAAAATTTGGCATAAGTCGGAATTTATCAAATTGCATCCAAGAGAGGAAGATTAATTTTAACTTGCCTAAACACATCAATGATTTCATTAGTTTTGCTTTATGGCTTATCAAAAGATGTGGATGCTTTTAAAGCATCCGGATATGGAGCCTTCGGCTCAAAAGATTTTTCAAAAACATTCTTTGAAACATTCTCAACAACTTTTTCCTTTTCAGTATATGAAGGAGGAGTGGGATGTGAAACGGGACGGGTGTCAACACTAGGTTGCACCGGTTCACTCTCTTCATTAGACTCACCAACTTGATTATCAATAACTTTTCCACTTCTCAAAGTGGTCACCGCATTTACATGTTCAAGTGTAGGACTTTCCGAATGGGAAGTGGTCTCTATAACAAATTGTTGCTTTGGTGGAGGATTCAAAGGCATTTTTCCCTTCTCCCTCACATTCAACGTGCTCGCTATTTGCCCTACTTGGGTTTCTAGCTTTGCAATTGATTGGAAGTGGGAATGAAGCAATTGAGTGTTCGCTTTCAAGGTACCTAAAGCCGATAAAACTTTTTCTTCAAATGCGGGACTCCTAGAATGACCTTGAGAATATGATGGTTGGCTTGGAAAATGAGAATTTGAGAATTGGTTTCCATTTGGTGCTTGGTAGGATGAACGATAACCTTGGGAATTTTAATTTTGCATGGGTGGTGGAACATACTTGCTTTGGAAACCAACTTGGGGAGGGTTTGAGCCTTCCCTTTGGTTTTCCAAGAGAAATTTGGATGGTTCCTCCACTTGGAATTGTAATGAGTGCTGTAGGGATTATTCCCTTGATTCACAAAAGTTGCATTCACTTGTTCAAGGTGTTCATTGTGCACATGTCCATGGGGACAATTGGAAGTAGTATGCAAAATACTAGAGCAAGTCATACAAGATTCATTTGAATGATGATGCGTAGGGGAGGAAGACACTTGATGAGCCAAATTTTGATTGATCAAACCTTTGAGATAGAGATTTCACTTTCGCAACTATGTCATTATAATTATCAACTAGATATAAGCTTGAATTCTTCCTTCCACCTATATTTCTACCATTTTCAGAAGACAAGGATCGGTGCATTGAGTTTTCACTCATGCTTTCATATAAACGCCACACATCATCTTCATGTTTGTCTAAATAGGAACCTCCCATTGAGGCATCAGCCATGCCCTTATGGTTGTTCGACATACTTTCATAAAAGTGTTGAACTATTTGCTATTTAGAAATGTCGTGATGAGGACATTTCCTAAGCAAATCGTTCAACCTTTCCCATGCCTTGTGCAACATTTCCCCATCAACTTGTTAAAATTCACGAATTGAAGTGCACATTGCATTGGTTTTAGACACGAGATAATACTTCCTCAAGAACTCTTATTGCATTTCTGCCCAAGAAGTTATAGAAAGAGGTCTCAAATTGTTAAACCAATACTTAGCCTTATCTTTTAGAGTGAAGGGAAAAAGTTTCAACCTTCAAACTTCTTTTGGCATGTCCGTATACTTTACGGTGGAACAAACTTCAATGAATTCATCCAAATGCTTATATGATTCTTCATTAGGTAGCCCAAAGAAATTAGGAAGCATTTAAATTATTTGTGGCTTGATTTCATAGTGATGTACCAAAAATGGAGGAAGTTGAATATATGTTGGTGCATTATACTCATTTGGCACATAGTGATTTTTCAAAGCACGGGGAGGATTCACAATTGGTGGCTCTACATAAGCCCCATTGTTAGCTTGGACATAAGGAGGAAGAGGTGGTATAAAGACTGGCCTTGGCATTGCAATTGGAACTTGGCCTTGAGGTGGAACAAAAGGTCTAGGCATGCCTAGAGGAACTTGCACATTATAATGTTATTGTTGCATATTCGGGTGAAGCACACCTTGTTGGTCTACATGACCAAGGTCTTCAACATGGTCATCCATGGGTGCACTAGATTCAATTAAATTGCCCCTACTCCTTGGATTACGAACTATCGATTCAAGATTAAAATTCAATGGAACAAGAAGGCGGTTTAAAGACATACAACTATGTATACACAATGCAAATCAGCACAAACAACCAACAAGGCAAGTAGCAAACACTTCGCTTCCACAACAATCAATCAACACAAGCCTCTATATACAATGATCCCATACTCCCATGCTTTTCAACAATAAAAATAAAAATGCCTCCACGCGGGCTGACGATTTATCTAAGCAAATAAAAGTGCCTCTACGCAGGCCGACGATTTAACTACAAGAAGAGTTTAGAAAGCTCACAAAAGGTCCTTAAGCAACTTCAAGAATATTTTTAAGCTTTTTGCTAAGCTTTGCAATTTATTTTAACTTTTGATTTTTATGCTTTTGTTTTGCTCGCTTTCTTTGCTTTGCTTTGAGGTTCCTTTGCTATGCTTTCCTTGCTCCAAGTGCCTAGCCAATCAAGAGTGACACAATAAGAAAACAAAATAAAATAAAGTAAAAATAAGGATCAGAGGAGTACAAATTTCTAATCAATTTCTAGTAATGCGTTGCTAATCCCCGGCAACGGCGCCAAAACTTGGCAGCCCGTTGTTTTCATATACCAAAGTTAATGTGATTGTGGCCAAGTTTGAATTTATAAAAGCCACTACCACTACTAACTACTAACGTAGCAAGAGTGAGTAGGGATCATCCTAAGGGATTTGTAGATTACTTAGGAGTCAATATTGGATTAGTAGGTCGAATGATTAAAGAAGGGTTTGGTTTGTTGAATTAAGCTAATGGCTTAATTAAAATTAATGCAATTTAAAACAATCTAGAGATTAGAGTAAAGAGAATGCGAGGAAGGTCTTCGGCCTTAGAGTTCAGCACTAAGCTTCACCTCATTAAGCATTTGGTACTTGTCAATTTGAGGGGGTTTCATGTTGTAAAACAAGTGTGTGTGATATTAACCATCATACTAAGCATGGATGACAAATTAAGTATAAATTGTCTAATCAATCTAGTGAATATCACAACCTATCAAACTAAGCCATTAACCATTCAATGAAGCCACAATTAATACACACACCAAAAATCTAGAGAAATATACTACTTGTACTTATAAGCCTGGATCATCAAACAACAAGAATAGATTATCCACCTATCCAGTAAAAATAAAGCAATTACACTACATCTATACTAATGACATAGAAATTAAACTAATTAAACTAAGGTTGTGGCACAATCTATCAAGAAATAAACATAATCCATTAAATAATCCACAAGAGTAATCAATTAAGGGTCATGCTTTAACCATCACTAGATTCACAATTTTAACACACATAGAAATGTATTAAACTCACAAAACCTAGTGTAAGCACATAACCATTCATTCTAGCATACATAGACATAATGATAGAAATAAATGATCAATGGAAAGAATTAATCCATACAAATCTCATGAAAACTCAATATCTATATAAATCCATGGTCAAAACATCATTTACAACATAAATCCCCAAAAATAACAAATAACTAAGGTTTAAGAAGCAAGCTTAGGAGCCATCTTTAGCCCTAAGAGAGGGATTTAGCCACTCATGGTAGGTGCCCTCCAACCCTCAAGGGCTATCTTCAACATGGACATCATCTTCCTCCTTTGCCTTTGGTTCAAAACGCTAATTCTAGAGAGAGGAAAAATATAGCTAAAGACTATTTTCTACTAAAATTGCTAACCTCTACAAATATGGGTTCATTTGATTTAAATACAAGCCTCTTTTAGTAGGTAATAAGTCAGAAATAAGGCTTTTGATTGGTGAAAACTCATAGCTACAAAAGTTGGTATAGTTCGGGCGTGCTCGGGAATTAGACAGCACACTACCAGCAGTCACTCTGATCTATCGAACAGGGCTTCGATCGATCAGTCACTTACTCCGATCGATTGAAGCTGACGTGGCAAAATATTTTGGACAATTGGCAACCTTATCCATTGAGCTGGCATCACCTTAATCTCGATCGATTGTAGCTTCCTTCGATCGATTGGGACTTCCTTTGATCGATCGAAGCTTCATAATGCAGTTTTTCTAACTTTTTTTTGCATTTTCTCCTTAGCTCTAAAATTGA